TTAAAAAGTTAATTTATATCTTAGCTATTAAACATTTTATAAATTGCAATAAAGGCAATAGTTTCCAATCAGTCACATTTTATCAGTTAAAACATTGTTACTCCACATTTCAATGCTCCACTTCCTGTTATATATTTCATTGATAAGTGAGTAATACATGATCCGCTACATGACTGATCTTGAATGAAGAAATGCACACCAAAGTGGCAAAAACAGCTAAGTATAAATATCATTACAAAATCTTGACCTGACCAAACAACAGAAACCAAGACAAGAGCTTAACAAAATGGGTTTGTTTTTTTTAATCCATCTTGAACAATTTGTTTAGTTACAGCTACAAAAACAAGCAAGATGTGGTCAAGGCCCTCATGGAGCTGACTTTTATCCTCGGAGGATAAGAAATGTATAGCTGTCAAAGGACTCTGAAGGTTCTTCTTCTTAGCTGCTTTCCCTTGAAGCTGACTACACTTCAACAACCTTAGCCACTCCGGTGGCTTCCATCTCCAGTGCGTTGTATACGAGCCAGTACCAGCTCATGGGGAACCTTCTTGCAGTCCTTGGCCAGGCCCAAGAAGCACATGACGTCAATGAAACAAGTGGTAAAGTTGAACTTCCAGCCAAACTCACCGGTTGCATAATCATAGGGGAACGTGTGGTGATAGTTGTGAAACCCCTCACCTGTGAGGCATAGGAAACAGACATATGAACCACAGGAACCAATTCAGATCCTGCATAGCTAGATGATATTTACTAGGTTTTTAGATCGAGGGCGAGTTTAGTGACACATCATGATTCTAAGCAACGATCCAATAATCTTGTTAATGAGCAGGATATCATGATAACTACCTTACAGACAACAAGTATTTGTGTTTCCTGAGTGGGAATCCTCGAACAGCGTTGGGCTGTGAGGTGATTTTGGTGTAGTGGGTGAGTTTGAAGTGGCAGGGTCATGTGACACCCTCTGGCCCCAAAAGACTTCATGATTTACAAAAGCATCCAAAATGAGGCATGCATTTTCCTGAGCAACACAAACACAGTTGATAAGCCTATGACTCAATTGTTTTTGCACCAGTAATGGGTGTGAGGAGTCAATTAGTTCCACCAGAGAAAGATGGTCATTTTGGAGTTTTACTGATGAACATGAATAAACACTGTAAATTATTAACTCCTGAATTATTCATTTAATTGTGCTGTACAGAGACTAAAACCAAAAATGAATTGCCTGTACTGACAGTTAATGTCAGTCGGTCTCCAGCCTGGATTAGCTTATTTGTCTGTGTCCTAGACCTCCAATGTTGTTCAAAAATGATTAATGAAACACATGACCCGCATAGTTCTTAAAAATGTTATGCCAAAAGCTCATAACTTTTTGCAGTGATACAGAAATATGCAGGCCTGGTGTTCTGTAATGACGAAAGATGTCACCCAGTGCAGTGCTGTGCTTCACTGATGTGTTTTTAATCATTTTGGAACAATGGAGGCCTATGGCACAAACGAATAAGCTAATCCAGGGTGAAGACTAACAGACATTACTCGTGAGCAGAGACAAGTCACTGTTGGTTTTAGTGTCTCTATGGGGAGTGCTGAAAATACTGTTAATACAGAAAATGACCAATCCTATCCTTTAACTTCTCTGCCTTGTCTTTTGTTACAATGAGAGCATGCATTCTTGTGTTTTCCGTACCTATAGCGCTTAATGTGACAAACAGGTTCTCCCTGGGATTGATGGTCTTATCATAGGGCCTGTTTCCCCACATGTGAGCCGCGCTGTTGACCAGCCAGGCAGCGTTCAGCACCAAAGTGTACCTCAACAGAGCTGGGACGAAGTACGCCACCCACAGAGACTCTCCCCACATGTACCAAGGCACGAACATGGGGATAAAGAAGCACATGAGTAGTACAGACAGCTTGTAGTACCTGTTGAGCAGATGAAAAGTGGAGAGAATACAACTTATTGTTTAATCAGTACAAGTTCAACACCAAATACATTCTGTTTTGTCAGAAGTGAGTCGGGCTGTTTATTCTCTTTTTGCTCCACATGTTTTCATTGCAGCCTGCCTCATATCAATATCATCTTGCATGCAAACTTTTACCTTGATAAACCAGAATGACTACAGACCTGACATATTGTCAGAAAACAAAATTATACAACTCAGTGCTGCGTCTACTGTTCACACTACCTGCCATAAGAGTAAAGTGCACCTGATTTACGATGTTTAATACTTGCAGGCTTAGGTTTAATTGGTAGATTATGTATGAAATAATTCATTGATTCGAGCTACGTACTTTCTTTGAAACATTACAACTTTGTCAGACAGCAAGTCAGTGAGCTCCAGCTTGCGTCCTTTCTCAATGACATCAGGGTGTTTGCGCACCAGCAGCCAGCCAATGTGAGCAAAGAAGAAACCCCGGACAGCGTTGTGTGGGTCAGCATCTGTCTCTGAATATTTGTGGTGAACCCTGTGGTCTCGAGCCCATTCAAAGATATCATTCTGTGGGTCCAAGTAAAGGCAGAGATTACATACGTACACTGTAGACACAATGTAGCACTTACACAGTAATGAAAACTGCTATTATCACAACATCAGGTATGTGCTTGTTGGGCTGCATATCTGTGTGATGTGTCAGTTTTAGGTACCTGAAATGCCATGGAGTTAGCAACACTAAGAAAGATTCTTAGAGGTAATGACGCCTTGTAGGATCTGTGACTCCACAGGCGATGAGCTCCTGCAGTAATTCCTAGACCGCTTATAAAAAAACAAAGTGTTGCTGTGGGCAGAAATGCAACAACAAGTTTAACCACATTCAGGTGTTTGCTCCTGTTATAAACTCTACTGCACATTACTGTCTGCTTACAAGTGAAAACATGATGTTTGTGTAGCTGATGACTATGAAAATGATGCTAATAATATGACCCTCATATCCCTTTGCAGTCATCAGATCTCAACCCTGCTGAAGACTGAGTGGGAGTTTTGGACTGATCTTCAAAACACCAAATGAGGGAATATCCTTTGAAAGAATGGTGTCCATCCCTCCAGTAGAGTTCAGAGACTTGGACAGTCAACGCCTAAGTGCACTGAAGCTGTTCTTGTGGAACATGGTGGCCCAACACCTGCCTGAGACACTTTATTTTCGTCTTTACTTTAGTTTGTTACCTGACTGAAGTTAAATATATCATACTGGCTTTATTGCATAATATTTCAAGTTGAAAATAATTAAAGAGTTGTATATGACTGAACCGGTTGGTACTTGTCTGTTTGTTTCACTGGAGGTTAAAAACCACAAACCAAGCATGTGGTGCAGAGCTGTGACACTCAAACTTTATACCGGCTGGTTACTGGGTGGATCTGATGAGTGGGTGAGTGGGTAGGTAGGTACTTTATTGATCCCACAATGGGAAAATTTCAGTGTGCATGTATCAGCATTACTGATTCATTTGTTCTTGGTTTTTCCAATTAGCTTATTAGTTCTTTTGTGAAAATTTTGGTCCAAATGCACACAATGTTCAGTTTGCAAGTCTATAAAACAGATAAAATAGAATCTTACACTGGAGGAGCAGGTAAGAACTGGTAAATATAATAAATGACTCCAGCAATATGTTAATTATCAAAAACCAGAACAAGGGTGCACTATGCAGCTTTCAGCTTTTTAAGATACTGGGAAGATTGTGCACAGATCTAATCAACTATCTCTTTATATGCATGCAGAAGTGGTGAGGGACTGGACCAGGGTGCTGACAAAGCTGTGATTTGGGGTAAAATGTATTCCACAAAAAACGTCACAATGATCACCCAGC